AGAAGGTGACAAATGGAAAGTTCACCGTGAAAAGAGTCACTTATGTCGAACGGTTAAAGCACAACCTAATAAGCGTATCTTAACTTGTTGTGGTAACTAGGAACCAAGTAATTTCGACGAAGAATGAAGTTTAATTTCAAACAAAGAAACAAATGAAGTCTTGTTAAAGTCGAAGAGGAAGGGTGATATGCTCATTTTGGACATGAAACCGATAGTGGGTATTCCTTCAGTCTGTCTACTATTGAAAGCTTCATCTGACCTCAACTGGCTTTGACATCAAATACTTTTTCAGCCCAACTTCAAAAATTTAAATAAACTTGTCTTAAATGATCTTGTTCGTGGTTTACCTATTTTGAAAATTGTCAATCATTCGTTGTGTGCAACATGTGAACAGGGTAAACAACATCATCAAGGTCATCCAATCATAGTTGATTCAAAGATTGTCGAACCGTTGGAATTTCTTCACGTTGACTTATGTGGTTCTTCAAGTGTTGAGTCTCTTAATAAGAAGAAGTACATACTTGTTATTTTTGATGATTTTTCATGATTTACTTGGGTTTTCTTTATTAGACAAAAATTGGAAACAACTCAAGTGATGATCAATTTTATCAAAAACATTGAATTAAGTTTAAAGAAGAAAGTTCGTAAGATAAGAATGATAATGGAACTAAGTTTAAGAATAAAAATCTAGATTCATTTTTGAAGAATTCAGGAATTTCTCATAAATTTTCATATCATTGCACACGACAAAAATGGTGTTGTTGAAAGGATGAATCATTCGTTGTGTGAAGCGGTAAGGACAATGCTCATATATGCAAATTTACATGAATATTTTTGGGCAGAAGCACTAGCGGCAACATGTTTTATACAAAATCTTTCATTCATTCATCATTGTTTTAACATCACACCTTATGAAATCATTAACAAAAGGAAACCCATTGTGAAATTTTTTAGTATAATGAGTCTTATCAAAGATAATCTATCTAAATTTCAAACGAAAGCTGATTAAGGTTTTCTTGGGATATAACACATAACTCTGTTGCATATAAGGCGTTGAGCATGAGAACTTGAAAAGTTGAAGAAACATTGAATCTAACATTTGAAGACTACTATTTCAAGAGAATTGAACAAAAATTTTCAAAGATACCTATTCTTTCTGAGAAAATGAGGAGTCTAAATAGATGGTTACTTTCGATGCTGATTTTGATTTGATCTTTGGTATGCATAATACAAAAATTTATGTTGAAGTCAATATTGAAGATAATAAAGTACCGAAAGCATCAAAGCACTCAGATGATTCGATGATTACTAATGAAGAAAATGAAGCTCAATCGTCATCAAACTCAAGAGACAATTTCAAAAGAGAATAAAATTTGACACATGTTCAATTGGGGGGGGGGGGTTGATTTCTACACCTCGTGTTGATGGAGAGAATTTAATTTCGCAACCTCATGTGGATGGGAAGTTATTGACTTTCCAAGCTGCTGTTGAGGGGGAGCATGTGACAACCTGACATTTCGACTCTATGTAATGACCTAAAAAGTCAAGTATTGTAACCAAATTTGAAAATAATGAAAATAACTTTGAAAATAAATGTACAAAAGTCTCTATTTGATTACCTACTATGTTAGATATCATTAAACCGTGAGCGTACATACGAAGAACGCCCAAATCTAACCTCGTACGAGGAAGTTATAATATTTCAAAGTTCGGTATAGCGGTAGACAACTAAAAACTCGAAACAGAGAGCGAGCTACTTTTGGCCGGAATGACCTAAATGAGAATCGAAGGTCTCGAAAATGGTATTTCAACGGTAGAAAGTCTGGTAAAAACAGACATCGGATAAAGAAGTTATGGATTTCTAACGAACTTTTCCTACCCCAAACTTTTAAAAATAAATAATAAAAAGAATTTCAAAATTTGCCGACGGAATCTAAACGAAAGTTGTAGAGCACAGTCTCACCTACGCGTGGATATAAAGAACGTCGAAAATGGATTTCGTATGAAGAAGATATGAATTTTTGAAGCTTACTAAATAATTAAAATATAAATTTAAATAAAAATCCGGTATTATCCGAAGGAGGAGTCACCGGGCCAATCCGAGTTACGCCCAGCGTACTCGAGTGCTAGGCCTCGGAACGTCCACGTCGCCCGTCTACTCCTCTATGCCTTGTCCCATCCGAAGTTCCAGCAGTCAAGGATGCGGTCACGCATGATGCACGGGTACGCCCCGCGTAATCCCGTACGCCCAGCGTACCGAGGCAGTTCACAGCCCCTATAAAAGGGATGCGAGGGTTCCAGGTAAATTGCTCATTTTCACTCCTTTTTCTTGTGTTTTTACTTCGTTTGGCGTGCAAGAAATATCCCGAAGCCCCGAAGGAAGTTTACGCTCCCGAGATTCCCAAGAAAATCCACTTTCTCAAGTCAAAGTTCTGCTCGGTTTTCATCTCACCTTCTTCGATCTAACAAGTGAGTTCATACCCCTATAAACTACGCTTTTAAATGTTTGATAAATGCTTTTTATACACTTTTAGGCGGGGGAGGGGGGGGGGGATACAAGTAAACACACGGTTATTATCGTATGTAACCTAAAGTTTCACTATATACACTTTTTATCAAGTAATCATATGTGATTCATAACTACTACATGAGAACTTTCGTATGCGATATATATTCTCGATAAAATCTTGTCTTTTGGAAATAAAACATGTTTATATATATATATATATATATATATGTATGTATATATATATATATATATATATATATATATATATATATATACACACACACACTTTTTATCACGTACCTTTGAGTATGCATTTTAAAACTGTATTATATACCATAATCCCTTGTAGGGGGAGCGTGATACTTGTGTATAGATCTATACGAGATTGACAATCCCGCACCTAAGCTGTAAGCTCCAGCTAAGCCGGCAGGCCTAGGGTGACAAACGTCATAACTTTCCAACGCTTGAAGAACGTTGTTATAGGCATCTTGGTCAAATAGCATGGTTATAAGACTCACATGGAGTACTAAAATTCATTGATTTACGGGGTTTTTCCAATGCCTTAACGATTTGTACATAAACCTATTATTTTAGGCATGAAAAGAACTATTGCATTACAGTTTTGGAACAATTAAACTACCATCTACTATAGTAGAAAATATGGGATTTTCTAGGAACATTTAAACATGTACAAACCATTTTCATTCTGTTTTATACAAACATTGTCACTAAATACTTATGAACTCACCATCTTAAATGCTGACCTACTCTTTCAAAACCACTTGTATTTCTCACGGATTCAGTAATACAAGTAAACTACAGCTTTTAAAGAAGGGACGCTGCGGCGTTAGTTTAATTTCATTTTGACATCATATTGTAGTTTCTTTTGAAACAAGTACCTTTCAACAATGTAAACTTTTAAATTATATATATGATGGTTGTATTACTTTCTTTACCATGTATTAAACTGTTTCGATACTACATGAAGTCATCCGCCCTCGAATTATTCCGCCGTTCTGGTTTGGGGGTGTGACAGATTGGTATCTGAGCATTGTTTATAGTGAACTAAGTATATTGAACCACATAAGATATACAAGATATAAATGCATAGGGAATCAAAGTCTCTGACAAAACGTTTTTACACCTAAAACCTCGTTTCATTTAATTTAGATTATTTTGGGTCTTAAAAGTACAAATACATGCATACAACAATATATTTTCATGATTAGAACTATACAAGAAGTATTAAGACAAGTTGGACACTACGATTAGGCCTCAAAATATGTAATCGGATTTGGGACGAATATAGTCTGATCAACTATATTTATCCGAGATTGGACTAATGTATGTCGAGGAATGGTCGTAGTGAGCAACAAGTCAAAACTTACCAAAATAAACACTGGTATCAAACATAGAAATTTAAATACTATAGGAGTATTTGGGTATCGTCAACCGTCAAACTCAGGGGTAATTTTTACGTGCTTTAGCTTATAGTCAATTCTTAACCCTATTCACGTATAGACTCAATGGATAGATTTCATCACCCCGACGACCCCTACTACCCCAACCAAGGTAATGAAGGATGGATTGTAGACGACCTCGAGGAGGAACCCATGGAAGATGAGGAAGAGGAAGATTCAGATAGCACAGCTTTAGAGCCCGAGGTAATCAATCCACCAGCCGTCCGACCTCCATCGGTTTGACCTCCTTTCAGGATGCGATTTCAAGGACCAACTCCCGTCTGGGGAATCCACATGTTTAATATGTATAGGGCATACCTCATTTGTGTGTTAAATTTGCACATTTCATTCGAGTTCATGAGTTTGTTTACCGTTGGAGCCAGCATCAAGGACTGCGTCCTCCTTACAGTATGTGTCGGGACTTCTATGATGTTAGTGGAGGAAGTTCAACTGATCGAGCACTCCCAGTTGTGGTAGGAGAAATTGCCAATCAGCCTTATCAATCTGGAGTCCAAGCAAATAGGATTCGCGAGGTTGACATAAGGAAGGAAGACAACGCAACTGATATCCGTCACCTAGACATGCTACAAGGGAATGCTCAACTCCACACCAACTCCCTTCAGGAACAAGTGACTGCAGCTCTCTCTGAAATGAGAAATTTGAGGGAGCAACAAATTGCCTTTGACAGGCGTCTCATGGGAGCCAAAAAATCAGACACCGAGTCAAGCTCCAAGCGTAATCCGCGCAACAAGTAGTGCTCGCCTAACTCCCAAATTTTGTTATAGAATAGGACCATCGGCTAAAAGTCTTACTTTTTTGTTAACTTTTTGTAATCAGAGACCTTCAGAAAGGTTAAAATTTTCTAACTTCGGATGTAACGCAACCATATGTTTAATATATATAGGGCATACCTCATTTGTGTGTTAAATTTGCACATTTCATTCGAGTTCATGAGTTTGTTTATTGTTATTCAAACTCTATTGGTGAATCAAACTCAAAGCCCTGTGTTGGTCAAACCTATGGTGCTTTGTATGTGTGGAAGTGTTTTTTTGAGAGTCACATCTTTGACTGACCTCAACCCAGGAAGGCGATTGTGGGCTTGTGCTCGAAACGGTCGAAGCTGTCCATTTATTGGGTGGGTGGACGATCTGATGTGCCATAGAGTTGTGGAGGTGATTCCTCGCTTGCTAAGGAAACTGAACAATGTTCAAATGATGTTGAGTCAAGCTCGTGCAGATGCTGTGAAGCTGAAGTGGATGCTTCTTCTATCTTGGTTCTTCTTTTTTGTTTATATATATATATATATATATATATATATATATATATATATATATATATATATATATATATATATGCGCTAAGTAGTAGTTGGATTTGGGGATATATTTGGTCTGTGTATTTTGGGATGTATTTCGGATATGTAATGTCGGATGGGTGTATAGAACTGGAATGGGATATTAGCCGTTGATTTTGGGATGGGATGTCATGTATTAGAATCTTAATGTAATGTATGGTTTTTGTTAATCAGTTTAATGGTCTTTTGTATTGTGGTAATTCTAAATCATTGTTTTTTGTCATTGATCAAGAATGTTGGAATGGAATGGAAAGAGTTTTGTCCATTAATCAAACATTGGAATGGAATGAGAAAAATAAAAGATCAAAACATTATAAGTAAACAATAGAATGGAATGAGTTTTGGTCATTTATTAAAAAACAATGGAATGGAATGAGTTCTGGTCATTTATCAAACAATGCAATGGAATGAGAAACACACAAGATCAAAACATGATAAGTAAGTGGAAATGTTCACCACATTTATTATTACAACCAGAAATGTAGCATGACATAATATGGCTAGTATCAACTTAATTACATCACTAATTTAGGTAGTTGCAAAAAGATGTAATTATCTAGATTAAACATGTTTGAAAAAAGCATCAATACAAGTTTATAAGCTTAAACAAAAGGTAGCCAAATAACTTGATTAGTCATGCTTTCATGTGTATCCAACTTCACTTAGGTCCCACTTTCTGCACTTGAGGCTTTTTTCCCTTGTCCACCTTCTTTGCTATTAACCTACCCACTACAACTTCACTTGATCCACCTACTGAACCATGACTTGTTCCACCAACTGCATCTTTACTTGATCGATCCACACCACCTTGACTTGATCCACCTACTGCTCTCTGACTTGACCCCCCCTTTCCCCTTACATGTTCTAGAATTATGTCCTTTATTATGACACTTGGAATAAGTAACAATTAAGAATTTCCTAGAAAGGGTTGTCGACTAGTTAGTAGGCTCATCTATAGCCCTCCTCCTCTTTTCTTAGGCCTTCCAACCTACAAAAATCATAAGGAAATCATAAATATGGATGAATAATAAACTATGTTAACTAACATTCAACTTACTTGTGTGTGATGTGTAGGGGGTATAAGACATCTAGATTTTGGCCACATGTTCCTTCCATTAACTGGATCTATTTTGTTGGAGTACATTTCCCTCCATGTTTCTAGTTTATAACAAGGATGCACCCAATATTCAGGTTGTTGGGCTTTTTCACCATTTTGAATATGTACTCATATTGCACAAATTCCATGCCTGTAGACTATCCCTGTTATCTCCCAATAGCTACAACTACATGTCCCCTCTTTCAAGTTGACCACATACTGATCAAACATCATACCGGTCACTTGATATTTTCCAGAACCACATAAGAGTCCCCAATATTTGCTTGTAGTTTTTTTGATTGTGTCAAGTATAGTAGTTGCAGTATGGGTTAATATACTTTTTCATTTATCAATTTATTTTTGTACAATGCAATGTCTCTTCATCAAGTACACTCTAATGTACTCTAAACAGGTAATGATAGGCTTGTCCCTACCATGCTCTAGCTTAGAGTTAAATACTTCACACAAATTGTTTAACAGACAATCTGAATGGGCTTTACCTGTAAAATGAGACCTAGCCTAATGAACCGGAGGAATATTACTTAGCCATTCATGAGCCTCTGCACTGAAATCTTTGAACTAATTCATTTCCCTTTCAAAATGTCTAATGGTTGTATTTGTAGCACACCTCCACAACTGATCTCTAAACTCTTTTGCTCTCCATTGCAGCTTCATGTTTTCATGTATATGTCTCAAACACCATCTATGCTCTGCATTTGGAAACACTTTTGCTATTGCAGGTATTATTCTCTACATATAATGTAATTTATACTTAGTATTGTTACAAGCTTTAAAAGAGACTTATGTTATATGTATTCATACCTTTTGTGTGTCAGATACAAAAGTGAAGTTGCATGATGCATCCAAATCCAAATCACCACCAAGGCATTCCAAGAACCATGTCTATGAGCTTGTTGTCTCAGATTCCACAAATGCATAAGCTAGTGGATATATTCCATTGTTGGAATCAAGACCCACAGCTATTAGAATTTGTCCAGGGTGTGGTCCTTACAAGAAAAATCCATCCAATCCCCGTAATTCCCTTTTTCCAGATTTGAACCCCAACTTAAGTGCTCCAAGACAAATGTATATCCTCTTGAAAATACGAGTTTCAACATCAGGATTTGGTTCATTACACACTTCCAACTTCACTGTTATACCTTGGTTATTGGTTTGTAACTCCAAACAGTAATCTATCAGCAAATTATATTGCCTTTCGTAGTCACCATACAGTTGTTCCTTTGCAATTGATTTAGCCCTGAACACCTTCGTTCTTGATATGATTAATTCCAAATCCATTTGAAGCTCCTCCTGTAAGGCTGTTACTGGGGTGTGAGGGTCAGAATCCACTTTTTGGAGAATAGTGCTTGCCAGGTATCGAGTTGTACATGCCTTCACATTTCTACTTTGTAAGCATAAATGCTCATCAATAACTGTCTTCACCAACCATTGTTCCACTTTCGTAGATCTAGATATTTGAATAGCAAAAGAACAAAGTTTTTTTTTTGTGAAATTACAGTTTTACCCTTCGATGTTACTTTAATTACAGTGGAAGGCCCACCACGAGTGGAATCCGGAACCACCCCTTTACATTTTACTCGTACTCTCAATTTTTCATTTTTGGCCATGTATAGGGCCCTCCTTGTTTTTATTGAAAGCATCTTCATGTGACCCTATATATCCTTTTTGGTTTTAACACCTTGACCCAACTAAAAATGGTGTAACATGAACTACCCCAGAAGAACAAGGCACCTTCTTGTTCTGGTTTTTTAACATTCTCTTCCGTAGGTCTTCCTCGTATCCTGCACTTTCAAACTCATCATTATTGATCACACCTAAATCATCATCTTGTTTTGAATCTAATTCAATGTTTGGTCCTTGTCCAAACCATTCAACATCATCCACACTACTGTTAAACTCTCTCACATCAATCTCCCAGTCATTTAAAATAGCTTCTGGGTCAATATTGTAGTTAAAATCATCCTCTTCTTCTGTATGCTCTTCTGAATCATCTTTTGAATCCTCTACATGCCCTTGTCCATCTTCTTCATCCTGCTCTTCTTCAACTTCAACCTCTCTTTCAAACTCACCCATATTCTGATATCCATCACTACTAAAAGGCTCAAAATCATCTAGTATTTCCCTATGATTCTGGCAATTAATATCAATTGCAATTTCTTGCATTGTATCAGTTTCCTTTGGTACAGGGAAATACGAATCATCCTTAAACTCATTAACCACATCTTGTTTGTTTGGCTCAAAAGGAACTAGGGACATGGAAAAATCTTACACACCATCTTCTCTCTATTCTTGATTAGCTGATTCTTTAAGTGGGACATTCATGTCTAATTTCTTGCTACAAGAACCAATTTCTTTCTTCTTGGGCCTAATCCTATTAAGTTTAGGAGAAGGATCAACATCCAGTTACTTAATAACAACTTTACTTGGGGACATGAAGTAAGTGTGAAGTCTTCTAGAACCAGGTTCAACATACACATTAATCACTCTGTTTTGAGGGATATATTGAGCCATAGATATAACGTCTTGATCATTTCCTAGAGCCTTCAATACAAAATCTAAGTCTAGATTAGGAATTCTATAATGATAGTACATTGTGTCATCCTTAGAATACCCTATCTCATGAATCATATCATTTAGATCATGAACTGAAAAAAGACCAGTGTCAACAAAGTCAAAGAATGACAACCTTCCCTCAACGTAATTTCTTCCGGGGAACTTTGTAAAAGATCCACCATGATGTATCTTTAAAGTGAAGAAATTTTCGTGGCCATCTGAAAGAATAAAGTCGATGAGCTTTGAATATACAAACCAAGAAACACCAAACAAAAGATTAAAATCCTCAATGTAATCTTTATCAAGGTTGGGTGCAATCGTATGAGGACCACGTAAATTCCACATACACAATACCATTTTTAGTTGATAAACCCTAAAACCGGATGTGATGGATGAAGGATGAAGATTGTCAAGATGATCAGTAAGCTAAAGTGAAGTTGAGATGAAGGGGGGTTTCTTGGACTCTGGTTAATCAGAGGATAGCTTAATGACGTATCACTGCCTAAACTCATCTTAAATGAGCGTCGAACATAAAAAGATGAATATACCCCCACATTAATGACCACAAATGGTTACAAACAGACGGAGTTATGAAAAGGACCTCCAATGCAACTTTTACAAACCACAAGGGCCAAACGCATCAAAAAAATTGATAGGGAATAAGTTTGTTATTTTTGGCAAACCATGGGGACCGTTTTTGTAATTTTGTCATTATTATATTCAAATAATTCACAAAGGTAACGCCAATATTCCTGTAATCCTGTTAATTAGTTTAAAAGTTTTTTTCTTGAAAAGATATAGTAATATGATAGGAGCATATACTTTTTAAATATCAAACCATGTGATATTTATATTTTCAACAAATCTTTCCCATAAAGATTTTTATGAGTTATGACTCACAATTTTTAAATTAAGGAAATAATGAATATAAAGACACGGATATGTAAAATGGGAGCAACGAATATTGACATCTCAACAAATGATCAAATACGATTGAATTTAATCAAAGGATATCTCGACTTGAATACAAAAGAACATCGATATTAAAGTTTTTTTTGGTTATATGCATGTAAAATTGTCGGTTAAGCAATACGTAGACAAATCAAAAGCCCTATTTGTAAAAAAAAAAACAGATAAGACTTGTAGCATGGAGCATTTGAAAGATTGAAAGCAACTATAGTGAAAGTCGTGAAAATTAAGTAATGTTATATCAACATCAAAAATACACAAATTGTTAGCCAATCACGCACTTCCCCACCCAGGAAGACAAACAAGAGGTTAAAGTCTTAAATAGCAACATTTCATGAGTTGTATTGTGACGGCCTAACTAGAGTTTGAGTTGCAAGATTAAAAGATCATTATTTTATTCCAGAAAATATAATAATAAAAAAGAACAATATCTCTACGTTTGTTAAAACTAGATTTTCTAGATCCGTGCATTTAATTAAAAGTATACACAATGCAGCAAACACATCATAGAAATGTATGAACTCTTCTTATTTTTTTTCATGTTGCAAGCCAAAATATATACCACAGAATGATTCACGCACAAGTTGGTGGCTTTTCATAACACATAATTTGAAACCAAAATTGTTCCATTACAAACACAATATGAGAAAATAGAAAACACTACTAATATTTTGATAGTACTAAGATTTGAACCATGTGTCTTATTTATAAAATTTTGCATCTCAACTTGTAGACCTCATTGCGAGGCAATAAACTCATATTTTATTACTAAAGAATTGTGACCTTTGTTAAAATCTTTATGAAGAGTGTCATTATTTTGAAGAAACAAAAAATTAAGTACTTTTTAGGAAAAATGATATGAAAGTCTTAAGTTATATATATATATATATATATATATATATATATATATATATATATATATATATATATATATATATATATATATATATATATATATATATATATATATATATATATTTTGTTGAAGATCGTTTATTATGACCATATCTTTTCCATATATGGGTCCTTATCTTTTCCTTATTTTCTCCTATTTTTCCTAGGTCTCTGTTGTACGTATCCTCTGTTTATATGGAGTGGTTGTTTTTGGGTTTTTTGAATGAAATATGAAATTTTGATTATCGTAGCTGTTTTCTGTTGTAAAATTTAATATGGTATCAAAGCGGTTCTTATCGATCATATTCTAAACACACCACCCCTAAATCTCGATCAGTTCTATCCACATCATGACGGGAGAAAAAGGCAGCGCCAGTGGAAACAAGGATGAAGACGGTCCCAACGTGAACCCACCCTATTACGTTCATGCCTCGGACTACCGAAAACAACTACACGTAAACAATCTCCTCAACGATCACAATTACACAGATTGGTCTCAAGAGATGATGAATTTCCTGTTCGCCAAAAGCAAGGTAGGATTTGTCGATGGCACGATCAAAAAACCCGACAAAGAAACACCCAACTATATGCCTTGGATGCGTTGTGATGCTATGATAAAAGGGTGGCTCACAACGGCCATTGAAAGGGAGATAAGAAGCATCGTGAAGTACGCTGGAACAGCTTATGACATCTGGTCCGACCTACTTGAAAGATTTGGAAAAGAAAGTGCACCTAGAGCCTTAAGTTAAAACTTGCCGTAACCACAACGCAACAATATGGAACCTCTGTTTCGGCTTACTATACTAAACTCCGCAACGTCTAGGATGAAGTTGGTTTTGTAATGCCCACTCCTCAATACATCTGCGATAAATGCAATTGTGACATCAGGAAACGACTAAGCGAAGCAAAGGAGAAGGAGAGGCTCTACGAATTCCTCATGGGACTAGACATTGATTTTACAATAATCAGAACACAGATCTTTGCTACCAAACCAATTCCCACTTTGAGCAATACTTAGCATATGGTAGCCAAGGATGAAAGACAAAGAACCATTTGCTTAGATATAAAACCAGTGAGTGAAGCCATCACCTTCAAGTCCTCCTTCCAGAACCAAAAAGAAAACAATGGAAGACAAGATGTTGTGAAACGAGACAAAAGCGGTTCAAGAGATGGGAAATGGAATGACATAGTGCAAAACTGCACTGTTTTCAGAAAGGACAGACACAACAAAGAAGGATGCTTCAAGGTGATTGGGTATCCCGAATGGTGGCCATGCAACCAGGTGAAACATGATGGAACCAAATCCGCCTACGCGGAGAACGACTCAAGTCCTATCCCGAGACTTTCAAAGGAGAAATACGAGTTGTTCTTAAAAACTTTCAAACAAGATAAAGACAACCAAAGGAGTGAGAAACCACGTGTTGCGAACCTTGCAGGTAAACAAGAAGATGATGACGAGTGGGTGGTGGACTTAGGAGCCACAAAACACATAACTTACAATCCGAATTTCCTTTATAACAAAACTGAAGCCAAGTTTGAAGCACATGTCACTATCGCTAATGGAATCAAAGTTTCTATCAAAGGAAAAGGTGAATGTACCCTCACGGGGGGTACTAAGATCAAATACATGCTTTATGTCCTAGATTTTAATTGCAATTTGTTATCTGTTGGATAATTATCCAATGATTTACAATGTGTTGTCTCATTCTTTCCTAATTTTTGTGTCGTGCATAACCTTTCCACGAGAGGCTTGATTGGTGCGAGAAAACACGAGAAGGGTCTTTATCGGATGGGCATGGTTAAAAGTGAGAGAACGGCTATGGTTGTTACACATGAGACATGGCACAAAAGATTAGGACATGCTTCCGCTACAAAACTCAACAAGATTAGTTTTCTTAAAAATATTGTTCTAAATAATGTGTGTGATTCTTGTTCAAGGGCTAAACATACCAAGTCTTCTTTTTCGAAGAGTGTTACTAAAACCAAGGATTTTTTCGATTTAATGCAATGTGATATTTGGGGTGCTTATCGTGCACCTTCCTCCACCGATGCATGATATTTTTTGACCATCGTAGATGATTATAGTAGATCTGTTTGGTTGTTTCTTTTAAAGCTTAAGCATGAAGCAAGTAGTCATTTAAGGTCATGTCACAAGATGGTTCAAACGCAATTTGGCAAAGATATTAAAAGAATTAGGTGTGATAATGGGGGAGAGTTTACATCAAACAAAATGTTGTCTTTCTACCAAGAAAATGGAATTTTACTTGAGACTACTTGCATCCATACGCCTCAACAAAACGGAGTCGTTGAGAGAAAGCATCGACACCTTCTCAAGGCAGCTAGGGCCTTATGGTTTGAGGCAAAACTCCCTAAACAATTCTGGGGAGAATGTGCCTTGACCGCAACACATATCATTAACCGGCTACCATCCAAGGTAATCAATGATAAAACTCCTTTCGAGCTGCTTCACAAAGAAAAGCCAGACTATGACATCACGAGAGTCTTTGGATGTCTTGTGTACTATCAGAACACTAACAACATTGGAGAAAAGTTCGAAACGAGAGGTAGGCCGAGAGTTTTCTTGGGTTATCCACCTGGGAAAAAGGGTTACAAGATTTACGATCTAGAATACAAAAAAAAAATATTGTATCTAGTGATAAAAAATTTTGTGAAGATATCTTCCCTTTTAAGGAGGTTGGTCCCAATCCTCTACATGAGGATTTATTTGAACATATTGAAGATCCCACTGGCATCAAAGCTGACTATGAAAACAATGAAGAAACAAATGATGGGCCTATAGAAACAAATAGCTCATCACAAGAATATAGTGAATCAAATGAAGTGCAAGAAGACTTGGATCATGACTCAAATAGCCCAACACCTCATTTCGAAAACAACAGGGAAACCATTTTTGCACAAGAACGTACTAAAAGAACCAAAACACAACCGGCTCACCTCAAAGACTTTCATGTTGACCTGCCCTCATCGATATATCACTTGAGGCCCATTTCCAATCAAGACTCCTCCACGGTACATCCTATTTCTAACTTTGTCTCATATGATACTTTTTCTAGTTCTCGCAAAAGCTTCTTAGCGGCCATTGAATCCAACGATGAACCAAAGAATTTTAATCAAGCCATGCAGGATGAAAAAGGGAAAGATGCTATGAAAAAGGAGATCAGGTCCCTTGAATAAAACTAAACTTGGACTCTTGAAAATTTACCTGAAGGAAAGCGTGCTATAGACTCAAAATGGTTGTACAAGGTTAAATACAAACCTAATGGTGAAGTTGAACAATACAAGGCTCGGCTTGTAGCAAAGGGATTCACACAACAAGAAAGGGTTGATTATCATGACACCTTTGCTCCAGTGGCAAAGTATGTCACATTTAGGACACTTTTAGCAGTGGCTACCAAGAAAAACCAGTTCATTAACCAACTTGACGTTAATAATGCTTTCCTACACAGAGATCTTAAAGAGGA